CCTGCAGTGCTACAAGGCCAGCCCCTGGAAAAGATCTTAAAGTAGGTGGGCTTTACTACATCAGAACCATTTATAAACACTTCTCCCTCTTTTTTCTAGAACTGGTACTCAAAGTGAGAATTCAGAACCCATCTCTTCGAGAAAATGATTTCATTGAAATTGAACTGGACCGACAGGAGCTCACCTACCAAGAACTGCTCAGAGTGAGTTGCTGTGAGCTGGGCATTAACCCCGACCAAGTGGAGAAGATCAGAAAGTTGCCCAACACCCTGTTAAGAAAGGTAAGAAAGGGTAAGGGCATTTGGGAAATACTGTGGCTCCTCCTTGGTTCTCAGTAATAGCTGAGGAAATGAAAAGAGAATAGAGAGGGAGCAAGGAATCGTTTTCTAAATTAGTTTTTTTTTTTATTATTTTTTATTTACTTGAAAGGTAGAGTTACAGCCAGAGGGAGAGACAGAGAGAAAGGTCTTCCATACACTGGTTCACTCCCCAAATGGCCGCAACAGTCAGAGCTGCACCAATCCGAAGCCAAGAGCTTCTTTGGGTCTCCGACGCAGGTGCACGGGCCCAAGCACTTGGTGGTTTTCTACTGCTTTCCCATGCTATTAGCAAAGAGGAGCAGCTGGGACCTGAACAGGCACCCATATGGGATGCCAGTGCCACACGCAAAGGCTTAGCCTACTACACCACAGCACCAGCCCCTAAACGTAATTATTAATCGTTCTTTCCCTCTACTGAATTTGAAGACGCTCGGACTTTTGAAAGCTGTAGGATCCCATGTTATTTCTGTAATGACCTGTAAGGATTACCTTAGGGCACTATTAGATGTATCTCTATCTCATGTGTTTCAAGAAAAGAACCAACTTAAATTACAGGACAGACGCACAGAGCTACTACACTACCCCGTCTTAGTCTGCTTTTGGATTTGTTTTGTCTTGTTTTTTTTGCTTCTTGGCTTCAAAATAAACCAAGATACTGGTCTGGGTAGAGCACACCAAACAAGGAGGCAAATGTCCCCTCTTAACTTACGTAACCTGTTTTTGTTTTAGGACAAAGATGTTGCCCGACTCCAAGATTTCCAGGAGCTGGAACTGGTTCTAATGATAAGTGAAAATAATTTTCTCTTCAGAAATGCTGCCTCCACTCTGACTGAAAGGCCTTGCTATAACAGGAGAGCTTCAAAACTGACTTACTAATACAGCAGGGACTTCTGTTGCTGAGTGTTGTGACAGCGTGTGTCACTTCTGGGCCAAGGACAGGCCATTGATCCAAATGCCTTGGCTGCCCGGGAGGGCCCCTGGTGTCTCTGGGTAGTAGGCACTAACATTGTTCTGCCAAGGTAGGAAGCCCCTGACCCCCAAGCAGTGGTGCCACTCTTCCAAGCCTCTTGGTGCACAATAAACCTATTGCTTGAAGCTTTGAACAGCTGAGAAGTGGTTTGGAGAGGCAGAGGCTGAAGACTGTGTATCCAGTGTGTTTTTTGTGCAGAATGTGAGAGTTGTCTTAGCAGAAGCTGAGAGAGCGCAGAGCCTGTTTCTCGCCACTGCTGTTGCCCGTGCACCTGAAGGGCCAGGATGCACTTTTCTTGGTGTTGCATGCTCACAACTCTCCTGAATTTGTGAAGTGACTGGGAAAGCACAGGTACTGGACAAATGAGTTTTTGTGTGACTTGTGGCTGTGAGGTTTCATATAACGTATTTATAAATGTTACTCAGGTTTAAAGTATTTAAGAATACAGATACCTAATTGTAGATACGCTGTTAACCAAAAGAGCTTCCCCTCCCCACTTTTCCTCTGTAAAAGCACTCATGACTGCTTCTCTGTGTAGCCGGCCATCTCTGCGTCAAGTCCCCTTCGTGGTCACTAGAGGGCTCACTAATGCTGGCTGTGGGAGCAGTGCCTTCTGCCTGGGAGGCGCCTGCTGTGGGCACCCCGAGAGGAGCACAGGAGCTGCCGGTCTGTGTTCGCCCCTTTCCTTTTCCATTAGAAATGACAAGCAATTTTTGAGACTGAATCTGTTGCTATTTTAAAGGCTGTTGTGGGAAACTGAGCTAAAGGAGTTAGCATCTTTATTTTTGTATCAAAGATAAAGGTTATTTTGAAATTATTAGGATTTTTACACAACTCTGAAATCTGTTGCTTTTGTAAACAAATTGTTTGATCTTAGGGATTCCCCCAACCCACTTAACAGAGTCAGTTATGAGTCTGCCAGACTTTGTTCTTAAAAGCAAAAATAGAAACACCTGATTAAACTCTTGAGCATGGCACACGAAGTTTTTTTTTAAAGAATGTGTTCTTTTCCTTTGCTTCAGTGTCGTTAATGTTAAAAGAAACGCCACCTTATTACTGACACAAACAGCTTGACTTCAGCGATGAGAAGGAGCACACTTAGACACGCAGGGGGCGGGCTGGAACCAGCTGTGGAAGCGCATCCCTGCGGTCTGGAGCAGCTTTTCCCCACAGTGCCTAGAGTTTCCAAAGAACCCCGGCTTCCAAACTGCGTGAGCCTAATTTCATTAGAACACTACAATTGAGTGAGAGCGTGCAGAAGATGGGAGAGGAAGAGAATGTTGTGCTAAGATAATGGCCTCCCGCTGCTGCCTGCTGCCAAAGGGAGGTAGCAGGGTTTTCAGGGAGTCGCTGTGAGTGACTTCATTGTGTTCTGTTCCACTGATTACTGTTGCTGACTTACCCTTGTTCAGTGTTTGCATACGAGCGAAGGTTACTTATGCCCACACCCCCTCTTCTGGAGTGCTCTGAAGAAACTTCCCCTGAGTTTCAACCACTCGGATGTAGTCACCTTTCTTTTTCCCCTTGCTTTGAGAGAAGTTGCAATTTACTAATATAATTAAGTCTGGTTCTATCCTAGCAGAAATAAATTCAGTATTAATTCATGTCTAAGTTACTGGGGTTAAGATCCTGTCAGCCACCCATAAGAGTTAGAGACTGTCAGAGAGCAGGGAGGCCCTGGCTGGGAGGCAGCCTACAGAGGAGGGGCTCAGGGCGCTCCCCAGGCTGAAAAACAGAGGGGAGCCAAGGTCTCAGTGTCTCGGGTGGGAGATGGGTCCCTTCTCCTTTATGAAATCCTCCCTGGCCAGCTGACTCCTGCCTAGGGCAGTGGGTAAGACTGCACAGTCGCCAGTAGGTGAGTTTAAAGTCTTAATCTATGCATTCAGAGAAATATTTTTATATACTTTGTGTAATTTATAACAAGGATTTGTTTTTAGCTTTGTTAACCATGAATTCACCCCTCCTCCTCCACTGCGTATCTAGAGCATGTGTTCACATTGTGTAAAATTCACCGAAGAGTTTTTCCTTTGTGCATTGCTGACTGTCCAAACATGACAAGTGTTATTAAAATTAAATATTAACTGACTGAGCCCATATTCTTTAATTTTGGTCTCCTAACCAGCACAGTACTTCTGATCACAGGGAGTTCAAGTTGAAGGACAGACCCAGGGACCAGATGCCCTGCAGGAAGAATAGAAGGGTCCGCTCCCCACCTGAGCCTCCTCCATCTCACTGCCGCTGCGGCGCGCGTGGCCTGTCAGTGGCACCTGGAGACATGTATTTGGTGTGGCGTCTTCCCTCTCGGCTCACGGTGGTGGCCTTTTCCCTGGGGTGGCTGAGCTGCTCGAGGGAGGTCATCCCCGTTACCCACGTTCCTTGATTATCCTATTTACGTGATGCAACTGAGCCTCGCCTTCGGGCTGTCAGCGCCTGTCAGCGCCTGTCAGGCCCCCGGTGAGCTCAGCAGCCACCTCCTAAGCCAGGAGAGAAAATCCAGCCTTACACCTTCGGCTCTCGAGCTCTTAGCTGGAGTTGATGCTGGATGAATGTGCTTTTCTGACGGCTAGGCCAGCCGGTGCCTCACAAAGCACGCGTCATGCCAAATTGGCATAATAAATCAGAGAGCGTAACAGAGACCTTTTCTTAGCACCAAGGAGAGGCAGGATAATTTGGGCATTTGTGCCTTCATCCTTGCTTTCTCGCACGGATGGAAGTCGTCTTCCAGATACTCATAAACAAGCTGGGCAGACAGAGCCTGCCTAACAGTGTGCTTAACCTTTAGCAAATGGTGCTGCGGCCAGGGAACCCGCATCAAAGGCGCCCTCTCTACCTGCTGCAAACCCTCTAGGGTGGGGATGCTGCTGACCAGGGATGAGGAAGCCCAGCTGGGAGAGACACCAAGGAGTCCAGAACCCCGGTGAACTCACCAAGGGAAGGGAGCCATCCCACTCGGAAAGCCTTTTGCAGGCGGACTCGGACCTGCGGACGGCGAATTCTTGGTTGGCCTGCTCAGAGAAGCTAATGTAAGTCACCTCCTCGCGTCTGCTATAGACTGGGACTGTCAAGGCAGGGGCTGCCCCGGGGCTCCTCTGCGGGACTGAGAACAAGCTGGAGGCCTCGCGGGCTCTGAGAACAGACTTGTGGGTGAGCAAGGAGAGAAAGCCTCCTGCTTCTCAGCACCCAGAGGCTCGGGCTTGGGGAGGTGACCCGAACCCCGGGGGGTGTTCACAGCAGCTTTCCCCAGGGGCCCGGGTCAGCTCGCGCAGGGCCTCTTCTCACCTTGTTAACGGCATCTGCACGGTAGAGCAGGAACTGCTGGCAGCTGCCCAGCAGAGTGTCTGGGAAGGTGGTACTTATAGCCAAAAGCTGTGTGTGTGTGTGTGTGTATATATATATATATATATAAGCTCCGCCAAGTGGACGTTCATGAAGTCCCCGGCCTCGTCCCCTTCCTCCCAGCCTCCTCTGAGGTCCCCAAACCTCATGGACAGGCAGGAACAGGCTACATCTGTGTGCTGACCACAGCTTTATTTCATCAGTGCTCCATTTGGAATGCATTCGGGCAGGGCCCCAGAGGACAGCACTTAAGTTCCCAGGCGTGGCCTGACCCGACAGTCTTCTGTTCTAGAGGAAAAATGCTTTATTTAAAAACAAACCAAAAAAACTATAGGAAATATGGACAGTCAGGAGAAGGGGGAGGCCATCCCTCAAAAGTTTTTAAAGATTTATTTACTTGAAAGGCAGAGTTACAGAGAGAGAGGGATCTTCCATCCACTGATTCACTCCCCAAATGGCCATGATGGCCGGCGCTGTACCAATCCAGAGCCAAGAGCTTCTTCTGGGTCTCCCACGTGGTTGCAGGGGCCCAAGGACTTTCCCAGGCCATAGCAGAGAGCTGGATTGGAAGTGGAGCAGCCAAGACTCGAACCAGTGCCCATATGGGATGCTGGTGCTGCAGGCAGTGGCTTGACCCGCTATGCCTCAGTGCCAGCCCCCAAAATGATTGTTTAAAAACAGTACAGGATGGAAATAACACTCAGCTGGGCATCAAGACATCCAGACACCAGTCTGGGCCCTGTCTCGGTAACTATGACCCTGGCAGGTGTGTCATTCACTTCTTGGGTCTCACTTCCACGTTCAGGTGTCTAGCATGGTTATTCTGTGACTTCTCTCCAGAGGCAGAATCTAAAAAAACGCCCCCCTGCATTTGCCATCCAGTCTGCTTGGTGTCATTCCCCTTCCTGACAAACACCAGGAAAGGCCAGGAGGAAATCCCAAGAATGTGTTTTAGGCCAGCCCAGCATCTCTGGCCATCCCGTAGAAGATGCCTCTGGCAGCAATGAGGTTGGTGGGAGAATCAAATTCAGCAACCGCTCCTTTGTCCAGGACCAGGATCCTAGCCAAGAAAAAAAAGCAGCAGGTGTCCAACAGCCCACTCCTGGCCACGTGGTCCAACGCTGTCCTCCGGGTACTGCACAGACCCCACGGTGACATGCCAGCCCACCTACTTCAGCGTAGCCACACAGCACAGCCGCTACGCCGCATGTGCGCACTTGAAGCCTGGTTATTTTAGCCATTCTGTGAGCTCTCCTGCCAAATGGAGCAGGTTTTGGGATCAAACACAAGGCCCTATTCATCTGTGCTAGTTGGGGCTCTGAAAACCTTCCCTAATGAGCCCTTCTCCTCACCAGGGTCAGAGGACTTGAGCAGGCTGTGCGTGGGGAGCCACGGGCCTGCACGCCGGGCCCTGTGTGCGTCCGTCTGCTTTGTGCCAGCTCACAAAGGCACACGGCGGGGTAGCGGCTGCTGTGAAATCTGGGACTGGGGCTGCCAACCTGGCTGTTGCTGCTGCTGCTGGGTGGATCTCCCCCCACCCACGCTCAGCCAGGCCTGGTCCTGCGGTTCCAGCTGCCCATCAGCGTCACATAAAGTGCACCTGGGACAGGGCCCACAGGTCAGCTCCACCAGCAGGAGGAAGGAGGGAGAGGGCTCCCCCAATCCAGGAGACATGCGATGGCCACTCCCTGCTGAGAGTGGAGCGAGGGCAGACTGGCATCTCTGGCCACTGCCCAAACGGGAGCCTGGGAGACTGCTCAGCCCCTTTCCCGCTACCCCCCACCACCAGAGCCTTCACTGGCATCTAACGGTCAGAGGTTAAGGACTGGATGTTTTTCCACCATTCTCCCTGTGCAGCACAGGCCTGCTGTCTCCCGCTCACCCTGGCTGAACCACCTCTCCTGCATCGGGCGTGCCCTGGGTCCTTTGCCTGAAACTGTCCCCTCCCTTTCTCCTCTCCCCACTCCACCCTCAGCTTTCATTTTGTGCCTGGCTGTGCTTCCCTTGCTTAGCAGAGGAAGTGTCCCGGTGGTCCCTCCAGCCTGTACACACCACGGACCCCTGCTTTCTCAGGTTGGCAGCCTGATTATTTCTACCTGCTTCACCACAATGAATGAACTCCCAGCCCCCAAGGTCAGCCTGAGCCGCCTGCCCTAGGCTGCTGCTGAATGTGCCCTTTTGGGGAGGGGTCCTGGGAAGAAATCCTCCGCTCAGCCTGTCCCAGGGCCCTGCGCTTCTGCCCACCTCCCCTGCTCCTACTGGAGCCCAGAATGGCTCCCAGGACCCCTTTGGCCCTTTTGGGTCCCTCCCACCTCCCCTTGCCCTCCAGGTGTTGACTGAATGAATGAAGGCCTGGGGATGTATCAGCCCTGTGTTCCTTCCACAGGTCTGTTCCAGCCTCCTCTCTCTTCCCTTTGGTGCAGTGAGGGAATGGGTCACAATTTTTCCTTTGGCCAAATAGCCTGTTCCCTCCCCCCACCAACCCTTCCCAGAAGATTCTGAGGGCAAAGTCCCAGTCCTTGGAGGGACCTGTGTAGGGAGAATTGCAGGAAGGTGGGGAGGGGGTGGGCATTGATGCTTCCCAGTCCCATCTGCACATTTCATTAATGGCCTCCAACAATCCGAGAGAAGACCTTTCCTTTGAAACAGGCCCAGAACGGTCTTGAGCATGGCCCGAGGTCACACAGCAGTCCGTGCCAAGCTGGGCCTGGGGCTCACACAATGCTCTTCCTGGGCGGTCGGGCCAGCTGCCAAGGCCGGGACCGGCATCACACACCTTCCCTGACAGGTATCACTATATGCAAGTGCTGTGTGAATGGTACTGAGGAGGTGCCGTGATTCGGCCTGGAGGATCCAGGTCCCTTCACCTTATCCACAGGGGCACGGAGGAGGCGGCTTGTGTACAAGCCACGGTGCCTGGGGAGTGCCAGTGGCCCCTCGTAACTCCACAGTGTCCCTATGCCCCCGCCCCGTTGCCCAGGTAATTCCATTCTACTGTGCTTCATATCCTGAGAACACCAGGTCTGCTCCTCTTTGCCCCAGCTCTCCCTAATCTGCAGCCCCAGGCAACCCCACCCCAAGCTGCCCGCGCTTGTATCCATTCCCTACCTGGTGTAATCCATGATCGTGTTCAGCCGGTGTGCAATGGTCAGCACCGTGCAGTGGTCGAACTGGGTGCGGATGGTCGCCTGGATGAGGTCATCAGTCTCCAAGTCGATGGCAGCTGTGGCCTCGTCTAAAACCAGGATACGGCTCTTGCGGAGCAGGGCTCGAGCCAGACACACGAGCTGCCTCTGGCCCACGCTGGGGAGGGAAAGGCAGGGATTTCTGGCAGGGCGCGCCCCACCCGCCACCTTCCTCCAAGACCTCCCTCCCACCATTTCGGTCTCTACTCTTCTAACTTCTCCTGCTGTCAGTCATGTACATTTTAGTAAGAACATGCTTGCTCTCTGCTCTTCCCAGACAGCTGCACATAAGCCACATTGTAACCATCTTGCTGAGCCTAAAGTAACACAGCTCAGGCAGTCACCTCCCACCCCCATGGGGAAGATGGGCCAGGGCTGTGTTTGAGGATGAAGAGGCAGGGCAGGGGAGGATCTGGGGACTCCCCGGTTCTGGTTGCTGGGAAGGTGAGGGAGGGGCAGGGTGCATGTCTTCAACCCCTTGCCTTGGAGCCAGAGCCAGTGGACAAAGCAAGGCTGTGTTCCCGGCCACAGAGGCCACAGCACCCCCACAGCCAAGGACAAATACCTCAGTCCTCCCCCAAGGGGTGAGTCACTGCGGCCAGAGTGATGGCCAGGCTCCCGCTCTGGCCCTTTCCTGCAACTAATGACGGTTTTGGCAGCAGAACGAACCGCCAGCCACCAGCTAGAACTCACAGCGGATTTATGGCGGGACTGGCACAGGACACAGGTTATACTTTTAAGTGGCTACCAGCTCCGTGCTGGAGGAGGGGAGCCGGCTCCTGTCTCTGGCGCTGATGGGTGTCAGGGTGGAGGATGCTCTGGGGCAGGAAGTGTTGATGGCAGGCGGAAGAGGACGCGCTTCTGCACCTGCCAGCCCCCAAGCAGGTAAGATGCCCGCGTAGTCGTGAAGGGCTGCCTGGCGGAGGTGGTGGGGGCTGGGAGCAAGCCCACTGGCGGTGTGAGTGAAGAAGGTGGCTCTGATGCAGCAAGGCCAGGCTGGGGACAATCGCCCCCATTTCCCGAGTCCCCCATCCTGCCCCCTCGCCAGCTGAGCAGCGCTGGGCAATCAAGTTCATGCTGCGGAGCCTCATTTCCGGCCCCCAGGACTGCAGTGCACATGAAACCAGAGAGGGCAGGCCAGAGTGCTTCCAACACCGCCAGGCGCGGAACACATGTTTTCTGTTTTAGTTTTTGAGGTCTGGGGAGGCCCCGTGACCATGGACTGAACGTAAAAATGGCCGTGGGGGCAGGGGAAGAAGAGCTGACTCACAGAAGTGTATCTGAGCCGAGTGCTTTTCGTGTCTCTCACTGACCCCGGGTAGCCACCAGCCGCATGCAGCCACCGAGCACTTGAAACGTGGCCCAACTGAGATGGGCTGTGAGTTAATAAAACACACTTGGGGTTTCTGCCTTGAATGAAAACATGCAAAATATCCCTAATAACTTTTATATCAGTAACATGGTGTCTTGGGCTAAACCAAATAGGCTACTCAAAGTTATTTTATCTGTTTATTTTTCCTTGTTTTTAAAAAAATGTGGCTACCTTTCTGTCTCTCTCTCTCTGTTTGTAACTCTGTCAAATAAAAAAAAATGTGGCTAGGGACTGGGGTGGTATAGTGGATTAAGCCTCCACCTGCAGCGCCAGCATCCCATATGGGCACCAGTTCAAGCCCTGGCTGCTCCACTTCCAATCCGGCTCCCTGCTAATGTGCCTGGGAGAGCAGCGGAGGATGGCCCAAGTGCTTGGGCCCCTGCACCTGCGTGGGAGACCTGGAAAAAGCTCCTGGCCCCTTGATTTTGGACCAGCCCAATAGCTATTGCGGCCATTTGGGGAGTGAATCAGTGGATGGATGATGAATCAATTCCTCCCTCCCTCCCCCCTGCCTCCCTCCCTCTCTCTGTCCACACACACACACACACACACACACACACACAGATAAGTATATAATCTCTCTAGCTGCTTTTTAAATATTTTTTAAAAGGTGGCTTACTAGAAAAGATTTCAGTTACATTGATGTGGCTTGCATTGTATTTTTGTGGGGAAGAACCATGGACTACAGTACTGTCCTTATTTTGGAGTGAAAGAAAAAGGCACAGAAAGATTGAGCAACTTGTGGGAAACCACACAGCTAACACAGGTAGGGGTAACCTCAAGCGTTAGCCTCAGGAAGAGGTGATCCCTAATGGCTGGGGACATAAAACCTAGGCTCTAACAGTTCTGAACAGAAGAAAAGGGGGCCCAGGGAGCCCCTTTCTCCCATGCCTGTGTTACAGACCAGGCCATAGCCCCCTGGGAACCTACTGGGATTTCCCAGAAACATCATGGGCTTCCTCTCACCTGCTTCATAGGTGCCAGGCAGCACTGCCTGCCCCAGTCCCTGCTTAGCACGACAAGCTCACACGTGACCCAACAGGGTCTGGCTATCTCCCCGAGCGCTTCGAATCCCAGCACGCCCTTCTCTCACCTATGCAACGCTGGCCAAGCCCCTCAACTCCTCTCGGGTCCCCAACCTCTGGGGCTCCTGGAGGAGTCAGAGAGGTAGGTACAGTGCCCGGCACACAGAACACATTGCACAAACCTATGCCGCATGCGCCCGTGGCCAAGCAGGGAGGAGACTTTGCGTCCTTTGAAGCCATTCCAGCACCGGCAGCAAGGGCTGCTACCCCTGAGCCATCCACGCCGGGCTCTTACCTGAGATTCTCCCCGCCCTCTGAGCACAGGAAGTCCAGGCCTGCGGGCTGCGCCCTCACGAACATGTGCAGGTGGGCCAGCTCCAGGGCTTGCCAGATGTCCTCCTCTGAGTAATTGCTGAAAGGGTCCAGGTTCATACGCAGGGTCCCTGAGAACAGGATGGGGTCCTGGGGACACAAGAAGGCCTCAGACGGAGGCAGCTTGCACCCCATTAGGAACCCTGGGCCCCAGGTTCAAGGACAAGAGAGGCATTAAGGTGGCAGTGTTCCCACATTGTCCCCAGCCCTCCAGGAGGGAGGCAGCAGCCAGGGAGCGAGAGGATTGCCTGCAGGGCAGTGATAAACTCCGCTGTGCCCATCACTAAGCCCTGTGCAAAAGCAGGAACCAGGGCCACTAATCTGACTCCAAAGTGCCCAGCTGGCAGAAAGACACCCCAGCGGGGCAGCCCCGCACAGACCAGGGCAGGATGTCGGACTGCGGGGGCTGGCCTGGTGGAGGGAATCCTGGGATCCTTCCCTGTTTGCTGACCCAGGAGGTCAAGGGGCAGGGCATGTCTGGGTCAGGTCAGAGGGCGGGTCTTCTCTGACCCTGCCAGGTCAGTAACAGAGGTGGCTCCTCGGTGGCTCCTCTCCCTGCTGCCCACCGGCCTGCCCCACCGGCCTCCAGTGTGGAAGTCTCACTCCTCACACCACACAAACAGGGGTGCGGCCTGGCCCCCTGGATCGCTGGCCAGTGTGGCTGGGCCACTCCAGGTCCTACCTGGGGGATGATGGTGAGCTGAGATCGCAGGTCGTGGAGGCCAATGTCGGCCACATTGAGGCCATCGATGCGGATCTCGCCTTCTGCTGCCTCCAGGATGCGGAACAGGCAGAGGGTCATGGACGATTTGCCGGCGCCTGTGCGGCCCACGATCCCCACCTGCGGCACAGAGGCGGGACGGTCAGGGGGCTGTGGGAGGGACTGGGAGGGACTGGGAGGGACTGGGGGGACTGGGAGGCCCCCCTAGAAGTGAGCAGACGTACACCCAGGCCCATCCATCCCACACGTACCTTCTCACCCCCGCGCACGTGGACGCTTAGCTTTTTCAGCACCAGGTCCAGGCCTGGCCGGTACCGCACAGAGTAATCACGGAACTCCACCTCCCCATGCGGGGGCCAGCCCTCAGGAGGCCGGCTGCCTTCCACCACCCAGGGGGCCTGGAGCGAGAAGACACAGGAGGCTTATCAGCAGGGGGCCTCTCAGTTCTCACCCACTGAGGTCCCTGGTGCCCGGAGGGGCTCCCCTGGACTCCCGTGCCCACACAGCCTCGTCCGGATTGGCTCAGCTCTGGCCACTGAAGCCATCTGGGGAGTGAACCAGTGGATGGAAGACTTCTCTTTCTCTCTCTCCCTCTGCCTCTCCTTCTCTCTCTGTGTAACTCTGCCTTTCAAATAAATAAATTTTTTTTGGACAGGCACAGTTAGACAGTGAGAGAGACAGAGACAAAGGTCTTCCTTTTTCCGTTGGTTCACCCTCCAAGTGGCCGCTATGTCTGTCCCATTGTGGCCAGCGCACCGCGCTGATCCGAAGCCAGGAGCCAGGGGCTTCCTCCTGGTCTCCCGTGTGGGTGCAGGGCCCAAGCACTTGGGCCATCCTCCACTGCACTCCCACAGCAGAGAGCTAAACTGAAGAGGAGCAACTGGAACAGAATCTGGCGCCCCAACCAGGACAAGAACCCGGGGTGCTGGCGCCGCAGACGGAGGATTAGCCTAGTGAGCCGCGGAGCTGGCCCAAATAAATAAATACATATATCTTTAAAAAAAATCTTAACAAAACAAAACAAACAAAAAAGAGCAGGAAACACAGATGGCTGTCTTTGGGCATCCAGGAGAAGAGCAGGCTGGGGGCAGAGCTGTTCAAGAAATGGAGACAGGATCCCCCACACCAACTGGGGGAGGCTGGACTGCTGGGCCGGGAAGGGAGCCCAGCAGCCAGGCTGGGGGCACCGAGGTAGGCTCTGGACTCAGTGGAGGCAGACAGACAGGGAGCCAGCTCGGGTCCCAGAATCCAGGAGGCTCCCCAGCAGAAGGCAGCAGCAAGAGCCTGAACGAGATCACAGAAAAATGCCTCCTAGCTTAGATCCAGGAAGGTCACGGGTGAGCGGCGACAGTGAAGGGTATAGAAAGCAGAGGGCAGGAGGCAGACGCCATCAAGGGTGACGACCAGGAGGGGAAGGGTGTGTGTAGACTGTGAGAGGCCAGAGCCACGCCATGACAGGCTTCTCAAAAGACAAACTGACTAGGCCCAGGATGTGCCTGATGTGAGAAGATGAAACCTGACACCGGGCAGTCTTTGGTCCCGTCCGTCCAGCAGGACCAGGTGGAGGCAACCAATAAGGTGGGCCGTCCTTGGTCCTGCAGGGCCAGGGGAAGGAAGGAATGCAGACGTAATACTTGTTTGCCTGGGAACTATAAAAACCCTGAGAACAGAGAAGGGGGTCTTGGTCTCCCAGCACTGCATTGCACGGGAGGCTGGGGCCCCAGCATGCTGGACCTACAAATGAAGTCCCTTTATTCTTTGCATTTCGGTGAGTCTCGCTGGTGCATTCTATCTGGGCAATCCAGAACACAACATAGACCAAGCCTGAAAACATGTTTCACCACCCAGGAGAGCAGAGGGAGGGCTGATTGTTGGTTGCGTGGAGATTCACCCAACAGAGGGGGAGACATTGAGGGAGCAGGCACTAGAGGGCAGCACTGAGGAAGCCAAGTCCCTGCACCAGGGCGGCAAGGGTGCGAGGTGGGCTGCGCATGGAATGAGAAGGGCCGATTCTGCTGAAAAAGCAAGTAACACAAAAGCGGAAGAGGACACACAGGCAGGTGCATAGGAGTGGAGTTCATCCCGCGGAGCCTGTGATGAGCAAAGGGGAGGAGAGGAGAGGGTTTGAGGCCAGAGAAGGTTTCAAAGAGCTGTCTCTTAAAGTGGCCGTGTGTGTGCCTCTCAAGGAAGCAAAATAGAACTAATCCAGCGGCGTGTCCCCAACTTCAAGTTAAACAGAGATTCTTCCCCGGCTACATTTCAGCTGCACAAGGCAGGTGTGAAGGCAGCAGACAGGTGGACTCCGCGGGGCTGGGGTTCTGCAGGTGAGTACCCCTGACACACAGACAGGCCCAAGGGAGTGGAGAGCATTTGTGGTGGAGGAGCAGAGAGCCTAGGCTCCATGGAGGGGGAGGGGGAGGGGGAGCCAGAGGAAGTGACAGACAGAGACACGGGTGGGTGTGGGGACAGAGTGCCATGCTGGTAGGTGCGCCTTGCAACATAGGAGCTGGGAGGGGTAGGGGTGGGCCCAGAGTGGGATGCAGGACCCTGAGATCTCAGAGCTGGCCCAGCTCCTGGGTGGGAGGAGGTCTGGGGTGTGGCCTTGAGGGGAGGGGTAGAGAAAAGTCTGGACCTCCCCCCCAGGAGAGGAGAGCTCCTTTCCCCAACAAAGGACACACTCCCCCGTCTCTGCTCCTGTGCCCAGGCTGCTCTTCGGCTCCCTTCCCACTGCCTCACCTGCGCAATCTATCAAGCCTTGGACAGCCTTCGAACGTCAGCAGCTGGTCGCCCCAGCTGGCCCGGCTGCTCCCTGCCTTGTTCAGGCAGCCTGGAGCTCTCTCCATCCCTGAAGAGCCCTAAAGCAAACCGGATTGGCTCGAGGGAAAACCCTGTCTTGCTCAACTCAGTACCTGCTAGCGTGGATCCCCAGTGAATTCATCCATTCAGCTGGGGTTGAATGAGTGAATGAGGAGCCACTAAAGCAGCTGGCCCTGAGGGGCAGCGATGGCAGCCACCATGTATCCTGCCTCAGCCCTTCCAGATCGCCCTGCCCCGGCGCCCCCGGTACCCACCTCGGTCTCCGTCTTGGAGTACTCCTTGACCCTCTCCACGGCCACAATGTTGGACTCCAGGTCAGACATCATCCGTACCATCCAGTTCAGAGCCATTGTCACCTGGCCAAAGGGACCAAGTTATGGTTAAGGTGATCTCCCCACCCCTCCAACCCTGACAGTGGCATTGGAAAGAGCTGGGACTCCTTGATCGTGCCCCCATCGAGGGGGCCCTGTCTCATCCATGGCCCAGGTGGGTCTGGGCAAGCCCACGGGGATGCTGACTGGGGCTCTGACCACAACTGGACCCCAGGCAGTGAAAATGTAGACTTAACCGAGGACCACCTCATTCAGGGTTCCTCAGACTTTAAAACACATCAGACTGCCCAGGCTTGTTAAGTTGGAGCTGCCAGGGTCAGTGCTGTGGGCAGTGGGTTAAGCTGCCAGCATCCCATATTGGAATGCCAGTTCGAGTCCCAGCTGCTCCATCTGTGGTTCATCTATGCTAATGCACTTGGGAAGACAGCAGAAGATGGCCCAAGTGCTTGGGCCCCTGCTACCCACGTGGGAGACCTGGATGGAGCTCCAGGCTCTTGGCTCCAGTGTGGCCCAGCCACAGCCATTGTGGGTCTTTGGAGAGTGAACCAGTGGATGGAAGATCTCTGTCTCTGTCTCTCAGTCTCTCTCTCTGTATGTGTGTGTATAACTCTGCCTTTCAAATAAGTAAATAAATCTTTTTAAAAAAGACTTAATACAGTGCCTACACATCACTTCAGCCTGTGGATTCTGCATGATACTTGACCCACAGCAAATTCAAGTTTTGCTTTTTGGAACGTTCGGGGATTTTTTCTTCTGGATATTTTTCCTCTGCAGCTGGCTGCATCTGGATGTGGGACCCACCAGACTTTCTCTGCAGGAATGAGCATCAGGTGTTTTCCAACTGTACCATTTCCTGTCCCTGCACCTCTGCCAGGTTCCCCTACCTCTTGCCCAGACAGGGCAAGTTCTGTTTGTTCACTGGGGCCAAGCTCCAAGCTCTAGCATCCAGAGAAAGAAAACTCCTCCAGGATCTTACAGCGCTTTGTGCCTCCCACCACTCAGATCGGCTGTACTCAGGTCAGCTGATGGGGCGCCTTCCACACTGCACAGCGTGTTCACACATTGTGCCTATGACTTGTGCCCATCGTGAGCAGAGGGGGGACACTCAGGAGATGCTTATGACACCTGAAGAGGTGCTCCCCTGGGGGGGGGGACCCTGCCCCAGGACCCAGGCCCCTCCGCACCTGCAGGGCATAGGACACAGAAAGGCCCACCAGCCCCGGGTTCAGATTGCTCCTCCCGATGACAGCAAACAGCGCCGCGAAGAGCACAACACAGTTCCCCACGAACTCCACTCGGATGCCCAGCCACCTGTGGGGCAGCAGAAAAGGAGGGAACGGGCAGGGGCGGGAAGGAGCCCACCAGGACCCAGCACACCAGAGAGATGACCTGAGGCTCCTAGAGGACTTGGCGGGGCTGGGGGCCGTTCTGACCTGTTGGAGGCAATGTAGGGGTAGCAGCTCTTCTGGTTGGCGTCCACCTTCGTGTCACTGAGGACCTTGAAGTCTTGGCTGCGGCAGTAGGCCCGGATTACGCTGGTGCCAGTCACAGTCTCCGAAAAGTGGGAGTAGATGGGCGAGCGGCTGATCGACTCCAGCCGCTTCAGCTGCCGTGACGTAGCCACGTAGAAGCGCTGATGGGGGCCGGGGAGAGAGCTTGGGTCAGGGCCATGGAGCCCTCAACTCCATCCTGCCTATGCCCTAATCCATGCATGCCCTTGGGCCACCTCCCTTCTCCCAGGATGAGAACTCGCTGTCTTTCTTTCTGTTCGGTTTGCTCCACAGGGCAGGACACTTCCTCCATGAAGCCCTTCCTGGTTCTCTCTCAGCTCCTGCTCCCTCACCCTCTCTTGGGGAACCTGGATCACAGCACTCAGCTTGCGTGGTCTCTTAAGTCAAACAAATGCCCAGTTTTGCTTAGCAGTCCTTGCACTGAGTTCATAGGCCCACACTTTTACAACATGTGCAATATTAAGATCATTTTGTATCCTTTTTCTTAAAGAGCCCTTCCCTGCCTGTTCAAGCTCAGTCCCACAGTTTCCATCCCCTCTCCCCCATGGGCCCTAAGGTGGTGTAACTGCCCTGGACCAGCATGGGCCCAGTTCCCGCTGCAGCCCCCACAGCCAGTGCACAGCTCCCATCTGCCCCGCCCCACTGGGTCCCATCCTCGACGGATGGCTCCACTGCAGAGCAGCTCAGCGATGCAAAAGCCTTTTGCAGTGAGCTGCATCTGAATGTCAACTCATGTATGCTGAGACTGCACACACACACACACACACACACACACACACACACACGTGTGCAAAAAGACAGGAAGGAGGCTGGCATTGTGGCACAGCAGATAAAGCTGCCTCCTGTGACTCCTGCATCCAAGTGCTGGTTCGAGTCCTGGCTGCTCTGCTTCTGATCCAGATCCTGCTAACATGCCTGAGAAGGCAGCAAATGATGATCCGAATACTTGGGAGATCTGAATGGAGTTCCTGGCTCCTGGCTCTGGCCTGGCTCTGGCCTGGCCCAGCCCTGGCTTTTGTGGCCATTTGGAGAATGAACCAGCAGATGGAAGATCTCTCTCTCTCTCTCTGACTCTCCCTCTCCCCGCCCACCTCTGTAACTCTGCCTTTCAAATAAATTAATTAAAAAAAAAAAAAGGTGGGAAGGGTACAATGTCCTAAACTGTTCACCATATTTTATTAAAAATTGGCCACAATTTGTGAGCATTGCATTTACTCTCCCACCAATCCTGCAAGATAGGTTCTATGCTTCTCCATTTACAGGTAAGGAGCACGAGTTTCAAGAGCAGTAACAGGAGGCCAGCGCTGTGGCATAGCGGGTAAAGCCACCTCCTGCAGTGCTGGCATCCCACCTGGACACCGGTTCAAGTCCTGGCTACTCCTCTTCCAATCCAGCTCCCTGCTTATGACCTTGGGAAAGCAGTGGAGGGTGGCCCAAGAACTTGGATCTCTGCATCCATATGGGAGACCCAGAAGAAGCTCCTGGCTCTGGCTTCCAATCGGGCCAGTTCCAACCACTGTGACCATTTGAGGAGTGAACCAGAGGATGGAAGACCTTTCTCTCGGTCTCTCCTCTCTATCTGTAACTCTACCTCTCAAATAAAGAAAATCTTTAATAAAAATAAAACAAAGTGCAGTGGCTGACTCACAAAATCCAGCTGCCCCACCACGGGCTGCACCTGCCCACGTGCCAGCGCACCTGCACGAAGGTGTAGAGGACAGCCAGGGGCACGATGACCACGGCGAAGAGCGGCGTGCTGGCCACGATGACCACGAGGGTGGAGAGGGAGTTGAACAAGGAATTGAACAGCATGAGGATGGTGGGGGCCAGAACCTCATCGATGACGTAGATGTCCTTGGAGAAGCGGTTGAGGATCCGGCCGGAGGGCGTCGTGTCGAAGAAGGACTGCGGGGAGTGCATCTTGTTGTGCAGCAGGGAGTGGTGCAGTAGGCGCGCGGCCTGCACGCCACCCACTGCCATCGTGAGTGCCGACAGCATCACCAGGAGCCCTGTTGGCACAGGCGTGGAGGGGCAGACGGGGGACAGAGGGAGGCTCCGAGTCAGGATGATGGCGTGGGGCAGGCAGCAGGGAGGAGAGGATGGAGAGATCCTGGAGCCCCTTCTGGGTCCCCCAACACCCCCCACCCCCAGGCTCACCTTGCAGAATTCCCAAGGTAGCGTAGACGCCCAGCCGCAGGGAAGTGGTGTTCTGTCTCCCACCCATCGAGGCCTCGTTGCTCCACTCGCTGAGCCACACGCTGGCCCCGATGGCGGCTGCGCTCTGGCATATGTACAGGGAGCAGATGACCAGCGTGGTGTAGGGCCCCACAGCCTTGGCATAATCCCAGAACACACTCAGCTTCACCTGCAGAGGGCGGCCGTGGGAGAACGGGTCAGAGGTGTGTCCGCGAGCTCTGGGGCTGCTGGGGGTCTGCTCGCGCTCCCCAGCCCCTCTTGTCCACCCTCCTCACCGTGCCAGTCTCCGCCTTCTCTTCCTGGGTCAGCGCCCCGGTCGCCTTCGCCTTTGCCTCTGTCGCTTGCACCGTCTTCTCGGATGAATCCAGGCGTCTCCGGGTCACGGGCCGACCCTGGCCCTCCCCATCCGAGGACATGGTGCTCATCTCTCTGTGGAGGCAGCGGGTCAGGCCGAGGGAGGGAGCAGGCCTCTGAACACGCACCTGCAGCCGCCCAGCGGGGCAGGCTGGCGCTCACCTCATGAACTGCTTGCGGACCTCGTACAGGACAGGCTCGTTGTCCGTCAGGTCGGTGTGGTTGCTGAGTGTGTCTTCGATCAGCAGCACCTCCTCATCCGCACTTTGCAAGGCTGCAGGGGCGGGGTTGGGGGGGGCCGTGGAAGGAGGTCAGCCAGCTCCCCCTGCAAGCCCCTCCTCCCTCCACCCCCCACGCCAACAAAGGGATCTGGGCGGACAGACACGAGGGAGGAAGCAAGGGACTGAAAGGGCCACAAGAAAGACATGGGTTAGACAACACGAGTCCTTGCGGGGACTGTAGAGAAGGGGACTCAAATGGAAGGTTTAGGAAGCTGGGCTCTGGACTCAGACTGGCCAGACCTAAGGCAGGCAGGGAGAAAGGGGATGACAGTGTCTACCTGTGGCATCACTACGAAGAGCAAAGGAAGGAACGCGTGCTAAGTCCTTGGCCGGAGAGAGGATGACCGCTTATACAGCAGCAGCAAAAAAGGCCCACGTGGGTCTAGGAGCCAGTCCAGAGTGTGTGGCTGGCGAGCTGGCAGTGGGCAACATGGAGGGGAGTGGGGCATCTTGTGAGCCCAGAGACACAGGAGGCACCATCGGGATAGGTCATTGCCCTCTCTAAGTGCCTGGACGTAGTAATTGTTCATGAAAGCTTGGACGATAACAAATGGTTTTACCAAGTAGTTGCACATATGCCAATTTATCTGCAGAACAGCCTTGGCACACACTCATACATAAGGGCCTGAGACCTTATCCCCTTTTGACAGATGGGAAAACTGAGGCTCTGAGGCCTGAGCTGCTGATCCAGGGCTCCCTGGTTAGGGAAGCAGAGAGAGAGGTGGGACCTGCCTACATCCAGTTTGCTTTCCCTCTGGCGATGTCTGACTGTCACATAGGTTCTTGCTAGAGCCCTGAGCCTGTCCAGAGACACCCAGAGAGCCCCGACAGGGGCCCTGATGGGAGGGCACGGGGATCGGGAGGGCCAGGGGCGGTGGGTACCGGTCCTGCTGCCCTGCTCCTCCTGGTCGTCGTCAGGGGCATAGTTGCGAAGGAAGCTGGCAAAGCTGCCGTTCTGCTGTAGCAGGGCCGAGTAGGGGCCCACCTCAGACACCTGCCCGTCAGCCAGTACGATGATGAAGTCCGTCTGTGGCAGGAAGCTGATGCCGTGTGTCACCAGCACCCGAGTCTGTGGAGAAGGCACAGGTGTGGAGCTGTGGGGTGAGCGGGAGGTGCCTGCGCTCCAGCAAGCACTCACTTGCTGCTCGGCGCAGCCTGCGCGGTGCCTGTGGGGCCTGCGTCCCATGGGGCTCCTCTGCCAACCATGCCACACTCCTGTGTCTCAAGGTTTCCCCCACCCCCACTCCACCTCCAGGTCTCACCGGAGCCCCTCAGCCTGCTCTCTCGTGGGTTCAGCTCCCCACGCCTCCTCTGGCCTCACCTTGCCGGCCAGCACACCTTCTGGCCCGATGACTTGGTCAAAGATGTGCTTGGCCACGTGGGAGTCCACGGCCGACAGCGGGTCATCCAGCAGAACGATGTCGGAGTCGCTGTAAACTGCTCGGGCCAGGCTGACCCGCTGCCGCTGGCCCCCCGAGAGGTTGATGCCCTGGGGGGAGAAGGAGGGGGTCAGACAGGCCTGGGCCCTTGTCCACCCACCCAGGCAGACCTTTGAATGCATGGTTTGCAGGACTCCTGGTGTCCCTGTGGGGTTGAGAGGCCACAGAGGAAGGGGTGGTGGCTGGCAGAGTCCACCCAGGCGGGTGAGGCCATCCTCCTCCCTTGCTTCCCTGCCCAACCCAGGGTCCAGCCAGGGATGAACGGGTCAGTAAAGCTCAGTGTGTCCACCCCCCCGCCCAGGGGACTGTTATTCGGCTGAGAAAGGCAGGGGATCCTGACACACGCCGCAGCGCGGATGAACCCTGAGGGCATCACGCTGAATGAAAGCAGCCCAGCACCAGAAGACAGATCTCACGCGATTCCACTCGCACGCACAAGGCCCCTAAGTGGCTCCACTCCCAGAAACAGAGCAGAGGTGGCCACCAGGGCCCGGTGGCAAGGGGGCTGGGGACTTTACTGGATATGGAGTTTCAGCTTTGCAAGATTGAAAAGGTCCAGGAGACCGGTGATGCCAACAATGTGAACACACCTGAGAATGACTAAGTGGCTGGGGTTGTGGCACAGGTTAGGTTGCCCACAGCCCCTAGTAGAGTGCTGGTTTGACAAGCCCCCGCTGCTCCACTGCAGATCCAGCTTCCTGCTCATGTGCCTGGGAAGGCAGCAGTCATGGCTCAAGCACTCGGGTTCCTGCTATGCACCTGGGAGAACTGAAGGGAGCTCCAGGTTCTTGTCTTCAGTCTGATCCAGCCCCAGCTGTTGCAGGCATTTGGGACATGAACCAGGAGATGCAAGATCTGTCTATCTGTGTCAGTCTATCTTTCAAATAAATAAATATTTTTCTAAAATTTACTAAGATGGGGCTGGCATTGTGGTACAAATTAAGCCACCATCAGTGATGCCAGCATCCCATACGGGTGCCACCACCCAGCTCCCTGCTAGTTTGCCTGGGAAAGCAGAAGATGGCCCAACCCATCTTGGGCCTTTGCCATCCATGTGGGAGACATGGATAGAATTCTAAGCTCCTGGCCTGGCCCAGCCCTGGCCACTGTGGCCACTCGAGGAATGAACCAGCAGAAGGAGATCTCTGTTTCTCCCTCTCTATCTTTTAAATAAATAGATCTTTTTAAAAAATGAGTAAGATGGGAGCCAGCACTGTGGTGTAGCAGGATAAAGCCACTGCCTGCGGTGCTGGCATCTCATATGGGCACCAGTTCAAGACTTGGCTGCTCCACTTCCAATCCAGCTCTTGCTATGGCCTGGGAAAGCAGTAAAAGATGGCCCAAGTTCTTGGGCCCCTGAACCTGCATGAGAGACCTGGAAGAAGCTCCTGGATTCAGAATGGCCCAGCTCCAGTCATTTGGGGAGTGAACCAGCAGATGGAAGACCTCTCTCTCTCTGTCTTTCTATAATTCTGCCTTTCAAATAAAAAAAATCTTTATAAAAAATGTCTAAGATGATACACATTATGTGAATTTTACCACAATTAAAAATTAAGTAAAATTGAAACTTTTACCAATGCCCCATCTTTAGAATGAAAGCCAAAATTCCAACCAAAGTCTTCAAGGCTCTCCCCCAGTATCACAACTTCTGATTGCACCAAAGTACATAAGAGTGCACACCCAGGTGCACCTGTTCTTCTTGACTCACTCCTCCCACTGCTTTCTGTGACTCTGGTGAAAGCCACAGCCTTCCAATGAACTCAATGAACTGCAAGGCCCTCGCTGACCTGGCTGCCTGGTCACCTGTCTGGTCTCATTTCCTCCCCTGGCCCCTTGGTCACCATGCTCCAGATACACATGTCCTTGCTGGCCTTCCAGTGCCCAACTCCTGCCCCAGGGGCTTTGGCTCCCCGTGCTCTCTGCTGCCCTGCCCCTCCCTGAGCTCCATGGCCCCCAGACAGGGCTCCCCAAGACAGGACTTTCTCCCTCTTCTTGTTCAGGTCTCCCACCTCAGTGAGGCTTGCAAGCCACCCAGACAATGCCGCTCGCTTGGTGTGCATTCCTCACTCCTGCTCTCCTTTGGCATTTCTAACAGAGCATCTATTTGACTTCTTTCTCTTGCTAATGGTCTTGCTCCCCTACTGAGACGTAAGGTAGAAGGCGGCAGAGATTTCAGCCAGGTGCACTCACTACTACATAAGATTGTCTGACACAGAGCAGAGGCTTAATCAAAACCGGGTGGATGGATGGACGGTCGGTGGGTCGGTTCGTTGGAAGGAAGAGAAGATGGCTGGCTGGCTGGCTGGCTGGCTGGCTGGCTGATGAACTCATCGTCCTAAATAATGCTTTTCCCTGCACAAAATGCTCTGGCCCCAGAGCATCCCACAGCCTCTGTCTGTCCTTGAGTTGGCCTCTCCTGGTGATAGCTGTTTCCCCAGCAGGTGGCGAAGCGCATGCAGCTACATGCATGTATGACTGAATGAATAACAGTCTACAAGCTGGGCCATGCGTGCTGGCTCCTCAGGGATGGGAGGGAGCCCCCATACCTTTTCTCCGATCTCCGTCTGGTCCCCACCAGGCAGAACCTCCAGGTCGGCGAGCAGGGCACAGGCCTCCAGAGTCCGGTGGTAGCGTTTGGGGTCCATGGGCCGGCCGAAAAGCACGTTTTCCTGAAGCGTGCAGTTCTGGATCCAGGCCTGCTGGGGCACATAGGCCACGGAGCCCTGGCCACGGGAAAAGTTGACCTTGAGGCTTCCGCGAGGACTGGTCAAGCCCCGCGCCTTCCCCAGGGGCCCCTGCCTTCTCACCTTCACAGACACCTTGCCTTCCAGCTTCTCCATCTCTCCCAGTAGGGCGCACACCAGTGAGGACTTCCCGCAGCCCACAGGCCCCACCACGGCCACCAACGCCCCTTTTGGGATCTGGATGTCTAAGCTGGGGGCAAGCAGCACCAGTCAGAGCCAAGGATCAGGTTCGCACCCTTCGCTCCACCTGGAGACCCAAGCCCCCTCCCTTGCAAGCAGCACCCTGGCACGACGAGGTCCACCTGCAGTCCAGGTCTGACACCGGGGTTGTGGGGCGGGGGCGGGGCATTCTGTGATTAACCTGGCCTTCAGCCCAGCTGGGGCAGCTGAGATGGGAAGGGGAAAAGCTGGCACCTGTGCAGGATGGGTGGCAGGTCCTGGGCCCAGGTGAAGGTGCCACTGTGGACGGTGATGGCATAGCCTGGGGGGACCAAGGTGCACAGGGTCAGGGAGCCCAGGGGACTGGCAGGAAGCCCAGGCCTGGGGGAGGGGAGTCCTGGGGGAAGTTCATGGGCTCCGGAAGAGAGGGGAAGGCGGGGAGCCAAAGTAGATGTGAAAAGAGGAAGAAGAAAAGAGGTCACGAAAAGGGTCTTAGCATATCAGAGAGTGCACTTGGAGCAGGGCTTGGGGCCAGGGCTGCCCAGCGAGGGCGTCTGTGGACCTGGGGAGATGAGCTTTCTCTCCACACACTGGGGGTCAAGTTCATCTTGGGTCAGGAAATGCTGGATCCGTTTCAGAGACACGCTGGTCTGCAGGAAAGGCGTGAGTCAGCCCCAAGATCAGCTCGTCTCATGGCCCCACCCTCTTACCCTGGCTGGGTCCCCCACAGAGGGCACAGACCCCAGTGCTGGGGTCCCCTCCCATGACCGACTCTTTCGTGGCTGCCACTGCCCTAAGATAAGGTCCAGGTCAGTAAGACGAGGCTGTCTCCAGCTCTCAGGCTCTGAGACCTCAGCGGGCCTCCTGGGACTCCCAGCGACCTCATTCAAACACGAACCACCCTCTGTCATGCCACACGGCCCCCAGAGGTTGGGATAGTTCTCCGTCATCATCGCCCGGCCTGGCGAGCTGCCCCGACTCCCGCAGAAGCCCCAGCCCTGGCCCAGGTTACCTGAGTCAGGTTGCTGATGAGCTGGGGCAGCATGTTGAGGGGCACCTTTAAGATATTGAACAAGGACACGGACACGAAGGCCTTCTCGGCATCCAGCACGTTGTTCTCGTCCACGCACACGTACACTCCGAGGGTTATCAGGGTCACCTGGGCGGCACGGGGCGTGGGCGTCAGGGGGCAGTCTGCTGGGCGCCAGCCACAGCAGGGGAGCCCAGCCACGGCACAGAGCCTCACCAGGAAGGGGGTGCAGACCCAGATGAAGTTGGAGAGGGCCTGCAGGTAGGCCGACTTGCGCAGCAGCTGGAGCTCGTTCTGCCTGATGTCTTCTACTTGCTTCAGGAAGCTGGGCTCCCAGGCGTACAGCTTCAGCACCTTGATGCCACCCAGGATCTCGCTCATAAGCTTGATGCGCGAGTCCTTGAACTTCATTTGCTCCACCTGTGCGGCAGAACGCGCAGCCCTGGTGCACCTGCTCCTCTTCCCAGAGTCTCTGCCCAGGCTGGGGGGCTCAGGCCTTCTGCACATTCTCAGGTGCGGCCCCTCCACACCGCTTACCAGCTTTTTTCACGCCTCCCGGCAGGGCCTGTACTAAACCTCAGCCCCCTCCCCTGTATTCCTTTTGTTCCCAAAGCCACCGCTTCACAGGGATGTCCCCCCAAAGAGACCAGGAGCTCCCCGAGGGGCTGGCCGGTTCATTTCTCTTTCTCCCCCCAGGATGGCACAGCAGATAATGCACTCATTCAATGCCTTTCGATTGAGCACCTGCTGTGGGCTAGGCCACGTGCTGGCCACGAAGGGTGTGGTGAGCAGCAGTTCAGACCAGGGCCCCACCTCCATCCCACTGCCGGGGGTACAGATCAGAAGTGATGATCCGAGCAAATGCTTCAGGATAAACCCTTGTGCCTGCTCTGAGGGGAAACAGGGCACTGTGGGAGGACATGGGTGGGGGCTCTAGGTACCCAGAGCTTGGTGGTTTGGAGAAAAGAAAGGGCAGACTGGTGGATGCTTGGCTACACTGTGGGGATGTGGGCCTGCAAGGTGAGCAGGTGGCTGGTGGTGGTCCTAGGAAGTCTGTCATTTTTTTCTAGGTGCAGTTAATGGACTGAGTGGCTCACTATTTGCACTTAGGATAGTCTAGTGGGAAAGGTTCTCTTTGGCACAGAAGATGCGGGGTTGAGTCCCAGCTGTGCTTCACTCTGGATGGCCTTAACCTCTCTGGGCCTCGTTCCACAGCCACCAGATGAGTGTGGTGAAGGCAGAGTGAGCTAAGGCTTGTATATGTGGCTTGGAGTAAGCCACATGGTAGAGAGGTGCCCAGGCTAGTGAACACCCTCCCCCAGACACCTGGGCCTGTGCCCCACGCAGTGCACCTCTGAGAGCACCCACCTGGAAAGCACGCATCTTCATGGCCACACCTCCATTGAGTGGGATCAGCAAGACCATGAGGGCAACTCCAGCCAGGACGGAGGGACCCAGGATCTGCAGAAGCACAGGTAGATGGTGAGACAGGTGGATAGCTAACCAACACCCAGAGCCAGAAGCCACCAAACAAACAGAGCCCCATGGAAACATGGGGATGGGCCAGAAGCAAAGAATGGCAGTTGATCAAACAGATGGAGACAGAATGATGACATTGCAGAGGCCCCTAGCCACCAGATTACAACAACAGGACAAACAAGAGGCACAGAAGTGTGACCAGACACACAGGGAGGCAAATACAGTGACAGCCAGCGTCACATCCACTCTGCCCCCAAGGCCCTCGCTTCCCTGGGCTCCTGTGGGAAGAGCGATGGCAGAGGCAGAAAGACGCAGGTGCACACCCTAGCAACCTCCAAGGCTTGTTTCCCCTTGCCAATGGCTGAGAAACTCTTGTGCCCATTACACAGCCCCCCTGCTGACCCAGAATTACCCTCTCTTGTACTTTTGCAGTAAGGCCGGAGGAAGGGGGCAGAGGTCAGGGGTCAAGGGTCACCTGCCAGAGGAAGTAGATTGCCAGGATGACCTGCAGGGGTGCTGACCACAGCAGGTTGAGGAAGGGTGAAACGTCCATGAAGCGCTGGGCATCCACTGACATGAGGTTGACCATTTCTCCCACTGTGGACTCACGTTTCACAGAATTGGTGATGACCAGCGCCTGCAGGTGGATAGACAGCAGGGAATGGACTGGACCCAGAGCCTCTCCCAGCTGCCCAGGGCCGGCCCCTCCCCCATGGCCAACTCCAGCCCACCTTCCTGTAGATGACCCCGATGATGCCGGTGCGGAGCCTCAGGGCCGTCACAAAGATGCAGTGGTAGTACTGGTGCAGGATCAGCGTCTGCGTCACGGAGCACAGGAACATCAGCCCGGCCACCAGGAAGCCCCACCAGGCGGGGGCCTCGGGGTTGGAGATGAACCTGATCAGGATGCTGCCGGAGGAGGGGAGAGGCATGAGGGCGGGCAGCGCCCCTCGCCCCCCACCTGCTGCCCCCAGCTTCCACCCTTGGCTCTGCTGCACTTCCCCCACAGCCCGGCTCCTACAACCTCTGAGCGGGGGCCGCTGGCCCTCCACACCTCCACCACACAGTCCTTGCTGCCAACCCCTTCTGTCACCTGGCCACCATCAGCCTCACCTGCCTACCTCCCTCACCTCCATGAACCAGGTGGCAGGAGGAAATTGGCTAGACTCTCTGCCCCTCCCCTTCCTAAGCTGCCCAGGGCTCTAGGATCTACCATCCAAGGCTTACGGGGACCCTGTCACCCCTCGAATCCGTCCTTCCCACATCAGTGGTCCCCAGTGTTGGTGGTGACCCTGTCTGCCTCCTCCACCGTGGCCTCTTCCAACCCTCTTCTTTCTTCCTGGCCTATCTCACTCCCACTGCCTGCTCCTGGCGGCTCCCGGTCCTCCCACTTAGCCACCCGCTGAGAACCCCCTGCCACCCACATCCTTTCCTCCAAACATCTGCCCCTGAAGCAAAGGACAAGGCAGGCCCTGCTCTGTACCCCAGCCCAGATCCCACCTGCTCCAGCAGGAATGTGCCCCTCACTGCTCCTCCCTCAGCGTGAGCCCCTATTGTTCATCTCCACTGGCGGCTCTGTCATCTATGGGCATGGCTACATCTCTTCACATTGGGACAAATGTCCCCCTGTCCCCATGGAGCCCCCCAGCCAGCATCACAGCCAGGCCTCCCCTTCTGTTAGGGGTTGTCTCCTTAAAAAGTACATTCTAGCCCTGGCACCTTGTTTGGAAATAGGATCCTCGCAGTTGTACTCGGTGTCACCTTGGGGGAGGATGGGCCCTACTCTGGTGATAGGTGTCTTATATAAGAAAGAAGGGCTGGAGCTGTGGCACAGTAGGTTAAGCCTCTGCCTGCAGCGCCGGCATCCCATATGGGTGCCAGTTTGGATGCCAGCTGCTCCACTTCCATTCCAGCTCCCTGCTAATGGACTGGGAGAACAGAAGAAGACCCAAGCGCTTAGGCCCCTGCACCCATATGGGAGACCTGGAAGAAGCTCCTGACTCCTGGCTACAGGTCAGCCCAGCTCTGGCTGTTGTGGCCATTTGGGGGATTAAAGTCCTCTCTCTCTGTCACTCCTTCTGTCGTAACTCTGCCTCTCAGATAAATAAATAAATCTTTTAAGAGAGAGAGAGAAAGCAGAGGGAGATTAGCACACAAAGGCTCTCCTACAGATGCACACACAGAGGAGAAAGCCCTGTGACTCAGGAGGCAGAGGTCAGGGTGATGCATGTGCAAGTTGGAACACCCAGACCTGCCAGCCACTTCCAGGATCTGGGAGACAGGTGTGGGCAGAGCCTTAGCCAGAGCCAGGTCTGCCAACACCTTGACTGTGGACTTCTGGCGCCAGAACTGGGAGGGGAGAAATGTCTGCAGTTCCAGGCCACCCAGTCCATGGTCATTGGCGAGGGTGCACCTCTCTGGACAAGTCTCTAGTATTCCACGTCTCTGGCTCTCTGCAGCCCCCACTCTGGGCCCTTGCGCTCTGTCCAGGCCTCTCTTCTCTGCAAAGTGGGTAACCATCCCCAAGTGCCTTTCACGGGCTCTGTGTGATCGCCAAGTCCCCTCGTTCTCTGTGCTGTGCTCCCAGTCCCAGGCTCTTTTCCCAGCTCTGGTTCCTTGGAGTCCAGCTTTGCGCTTGTCCCTGGGAACCGCCCCCAGCCTTTCCTACACAGGCTCCCTAGGGGGACCAAGCCAAGGACCCCTAAGAATGTGCCCTCCAGAAAGCCAGGAGCCCTCCTTGGACAGCCCACCAGCACCTCTGGCCCAACACAGCCAGGGCTCAACTCACCTCATGCCACCTGCCCAAGCCCCTCCCCGCTCTGAGCACCTCACCCTACAGTCACCTAGGTGCCCTGACTCCTCCCTCTCCCTGGCATGCGCATCCACTACCCGCATAGCTTCTGAACCTTCATCTCCCTCCCTCCCTCCCGGACTTTCACCTGACCTGCTTGGCCCACTTCCCACTGCCCTGCCCACTCTGCCCACTTTCCGCTGCCCTCCTGCGTGCTGCTGGACGACCGTGAAAAGCAAACCAGATGCCCCTCCCTGGCTTCCAGGTTCCAAGGATATCCTCGGCTCTCCCTCCCTGGCGTCCTCTTCCTGCCCCTCCCTCCCTCACCCCTTCTCCAGCATGAACAACACCTGGCCGTCCTGAGTCATGCTGTCTCAGGCCTTTGTCACCGGGCTTGGGCTGCACTTTCCCCTGCTGCTTTGCCTACTGGGCCTCCAAACTTGATAACCTCCTGAGCTGCCCAGTGACCCCTGCTGGCCCCGGCTGGTTCCCTCGCCCCTCCTGGGGCTTTCCAGACACCTGAGCACCCCTCTGCCCCCTGGATCCCGACTGATCCGCACGCTGGTTCTCCCAAGGTTATTTCTGTGTCATTGGTGTCTAGCACTATTCCAGGCTGTTCTTCCCACCCTCTCACTGGGGAGCTCCTTGAAGTCCAGGCCATGGGAGGGACAGGTGATACAGCCTGTTGGTGGTGGCCAGGGCACTGTAGCCGGAGCTCAGAGCCCGGGACTCAGATCCGACTCCATTTCTACCAGCTGTGTGCCCTTGGTCAAGTCCCCTCTGGCTTTCTGCTTTCCCATCTGTGAAATGGGAGGAGGAGCACCTTTGTAAAAGTTTGCTGCCAAGATTTCCAGAGAAAAAGCTTGGTGACGCCTCCTCCACAGTGCCTGGAGCACTGACTGGTTCCCAGCTGATGGGAGCAGCAGGGGAACGGGGAAACTGAGGTAGAGAGACCATGCCACTCGCCAAGGGCCCCGTGAAGGGGAGAGACAGCCTCTGTGGCTCCCAATCGGGCTTCTCGTCGCTCTATGTTCCCCTCATCCAGGCCAGCCCTCGGCCCAGGGAGGAGTGTGCGGACACCTGAGCAGTTGCGGGTTGGTGAAGTTCAGCAGGTCCTGGATCAGCTTGAAGAAGGCGCTGATGAGGAAGGTGGGGCCGAAGGTGACCAGCAGGGCCCGCAGGAAGGACGGCTCCCGGGCCTGGGGCCGGCCGCTCAGCAGTCCCACGGCCTCTCCCGCCACTTTCTTCCCAGATGCTGCTGCAGCCGTGTGTCTGCTCCAGGGAGGGAGAAACAGCAGGCAGGAATGGGCACCTGGGCCCCCCTGCCCCTACTGGAAGCCAAGGAGGGGGAAGTGGGAGAGGGGGAGAGAGAGGAAGAGGTGGGGCAGTGGGAGGAGGGAGCTGATTTCTGGGCTCTTGGAACTCCCAGGTGACTCTGTCTGCAGGTGGCCAGGCATCCCCCACAAGGAGTCTAAACCCCTGCTGTCCCAGCCTCTGGTCTCTCCCTGTCTCCCCCTCCCCCGCGCCCCCCCCGGGGGGGGTTGGTTCTGGGTATGAGGCTGTGAGGAGAGGGGAGATGGGGTGTGGGACAGGGCAGGGAGTGGGTGAGGTGGCTTGGAGGGACAGAGATAGTGTGGCAGGCCTTCCCTGAGCCTGCAAGCCATGGAAGCCAAGGTACTGCTTGCTACCCATGCCCCAGGCCTTGGTCCCTCCCACACCTGGGCATGATCAGGGCTCTGAGCTGAACCAGCTTCCAGCTCCTAGGCCTATGCATGTGGATGGGAGGGAAGAGGGCTCTGTCCTGGGGTCAGATGGACTCAGGCCTGACTCTCCGGGCCGGACAGCTGGCCAGAGCCAGGCACATGGGTTCTCCAGGGGAGGCTGCCAGAGGGAAGGTCCCTGGGCAGGAGAATCACTGAGCCACCGCCTCTGGCCACATCCGGACAAGAGGCAGGACTGAAGGGGGCCGAGGGAAGTTTCTGGAATCTGCCCTTTATAATAGGCTGGGTAGTGTAGAGGGAAGAGCAGGACCTGTGGGGCCAGGCAGCTGGGTGCAGATTCCAGCTCTGTTGCCACCTGCTAAGGGCCGCAGGGCACGCCACTAAACCTCTGTGCCTCGGGGTCCCTGCCCATAACGCAGGGACAATAGGACCCACACTGTAGGCTGGTGAGGGGTTAGACGAGGTGATTGACATGCTAAGGACTGGCCTTGGGATACAGTAAGTGCTGCGGAGGTGTCCTGGCCCTGCCCAGACCCAGGCTTCCAGGCAGGAGTCCCAAGGTCACCAAGGAATCTCCTGCACCTGCTCGCCTCCCCCTCCTCTGCAGGTGATCACCCCAGGCCCAGCAGTGTCCCCTGCAGGAGACCTTGGGCCTAGAGGCACAGGGGGAGCGAGTGGCATCGGGGCACGGGGAAGGCCTCACCGCGCAGCCTGCTTTTGCTGCTGCTCCCACGCCTGGAGCAGCCTCTGCACCACCATCTGGGAGCGGTCGTCCTCGTTCAGGGACCAGAGATCCTGCTCCTCCAGGGGCCGCCGGTAGCCGAGGATGACCAGCCTGGGCGAGGAGGTGGGCACAGCCCCCACAGAGGGTCAGAGTGCAGCAGCCGGAGCTGGGGTGAGTGTTTGCAGGGCCCCAGGCTCTCCCGAGGAGGCTCTCCTTGGGGTGCTGTGGTCTATGGCGCTGTCTCCCTTACTCCCGAACTCAACTCCTGCCTCCTCCCTCCTGACTTCCTACCTCTGGCCCCTCCCGCCCAGGGGTCCCACCTCCCCCCAAGCCCTGGAGGGAAACTCCATGCCACCCGGGTCCTGGGCCAGGACCAGGCACGATGGATGCAGCCCTGGCTTCAGATGCTTCCTCAGGGCAGTGTGGTTAATGAGTTGTCACCCAGGTCACAGACACAATTATCCTGCTCAAGTCGCTCTGAGGGACAGCCAGGGAGATAGATGACAAGCAGCAAGCTCAGCCCGGATGGAAGGTTCAGAGCTCACTGTGATCTCTCCTTGCAGCCCCTGGGCCAGATGCAGCCTGGGAGTGGAACGGGCCAGGGCCCTGCCCCCAGCTCACCGGCTCACACACAGCTCCCAGCTCCATGCCCACTGGGATGGGCGTTTGGGGCGGGGTGGGGGGTGCCAGCCAGGCCCTGCTGCTCAGGTTCTGATGCTGTGGCTCGCTCCCTTCCTCTCTCACCCCCTACCTCCCTCCCGCTCTGGCCCAGGCTGGAGGAAAAGCCCACTCACTTTGTGAACCACCAGAAAGACAGGCGGGAGAGGAAGCCAGCGCTGCCCTCTGGGCAGGGGTTCTAGAAGGTGAGAGAATGGAACGGGGGAATCAGGAGCGCCCACCACCCCCTCACTCCTCAAGCCCCAGGTTACCTCCCCTCGGAAGGATCTGGAAGGGATGGGGGTTGCCGGTGAGGGATGGGCTGGGGAGTGAGCAAACTCACGGGGTCCGTGTTCTTGGGGGAGAAGAAAGGCGGCTTCTCCCTGAAGCAGGACAGGACGAGCGCCGACAGGACCAGCGCGAAGTAGATGTAGAAGGTGGAGAAACGGAAGGTGTCTGAGATGGCGCCCTGTGGGGGATGGGGTAGGGGAGTGTGCGAAGCCAGCCCGGCCAGCAGCCCCTGTCCTGTGGGTCTCCGGGCATCAGGCTCCTCTGAGGTCCCCAGCCAGGGGATTCTGAGCTCGGGGACAGTGCATGGGGTCGTGGTTGATGAGGACTTGCCCTGTGCCAGGCGTGAGGCCAGCACTCCACCCCGATACCGTGTCTCACCCAGGCACAACCTGGTGCCAAGGGGGTTGTGGTGCCCATTCTGCAACTGAGAAATGCCCCAAAGAGCCAGAGTAAGCACCCGGTTGAGAGCCTGGGCTCCAAGTTACTCTGCAGGGTAGCGCCAAGATTGGCCCCCGGCACTCCACCCCTCCCCCTCGCCCCGTCCCCGCCCCAAGGCCAAGAAGAAGGCCAGGGAGGAAGAAAGCAGACAACACTGACAGTGGGCCATCCAGCTGGTCAGAATGGTACACGCGTGTCTGCACACACATGCTTGTGACGCGAACCTGACACACATCAGACAGTGCACCTGGTGGAGGTGGCACAGAGCAGTCCTGCACTCCCACAAGTGTCCAACAGTGGCAGTGTCTTTGCCCCATCCCCTGTGCCACATTGGTCCCCCATCTGCCGCCTGCTTCCGGCCAGAGATACAGCAAGCGAGGAACAAGGAGAAAAGACCTGAACTGAGAGGAGCAGGCAGGGGCAGTAGGGAGGGGTCTGGGATGAGGCAATGGCCTTGAGCCCTGAAGTCGCCCCCTGGACAGGTCTGGGCCTGGCAGGTTCCCCTCCTCCTTTCCTTACCTCTGCCATTGCTGCGAGGATCTTGGAGCGGAAGGGGATGATGGCACAGACCACGCACAGGAACCAGAAGATGATGAGGACCCCCGAGGACTGCACACCCCGCAGCCGCTCGTACTGGATCAGCAGGGTGGCCAGCAGCTGCGCAGGGAGGGCGGGCGGGCCCGGCCCAGCCAGAGAACACACATCTGGACCTGCCTCCATGCGGCCCTGCCCGCGCATGCCCAGGTGTGTCTGGGGTAGCTGTGTCCTCTTCCCACTCCCGAGGTGTCCAGCTGACTCCTCAGGGCCCCCCGCCACCCCACCACTGCTCACCAGAGACCTCCCCCTACCCAGCTTCCCCGGGCCCCACACTGACCATGGTGACCCCCACCACTAGGGGGGTGACGAAGAAGACAGGGGCAGGGGCCTGGTCATGCACCAGGCCATGGAAGGAGTAGAAGAGATCCGCCCAGGAGACACACCACAGCAGGACACCCAGGGCCTGTGAATGGGGCATGGGTTGCAGGCACGGCCCCTGCTGGGGAGCGGTCTTTGCTCCCGAAGCCAAGCCGGGAGACCTGTCCCAGCCTGGCCCTGAGGGCTGGGAGGTACTACCTCAGCATGAGCCCGAGCTGCAGGGCAGGTGAGGCTGGGGAACCTGGCTGTGGAGGATGGCAGGCTCCGAGAGACTCAACAGAAGCAGGATCCCCCAGGTCCTGCCCCCCACCCCCCCGGAGGACAGCCTTGCGCCCCTGACCGTCTTAAGCCTGCACAGGCGGGAGAGGACGATGTAGCCATGATGGTGGTGCCGCAGGTAGAGCAGGTAGCAGGGCAGCGCGGCCCACAGGTAGATGCAGGGGACCCAGGCCAGCAGGGAGTTCTGGAAGCATGGAGTGAGGTCCGGGTTGTCCGTGTGCACAGACAGGTTGGAGTCCTGGGGACAGAGAGAACCATGCAGGCTGTGGCAGCCTCCTGAGGAAAGGCCCCTCCTGAGGCCGGGCCAGGGAGCTGCTCCATCAGAGACTGGGGCAAGGGCTGGAGAAGGCGAGACCCTGAGAGCCCGGGAGCCCCCCCAACACACACCCCCACGGAGGCCGCGGCTAATTGAAGGGTAATGCAGACACAATAAATGCACAAGTCCATGAGCTTGACAGTGGTCTGCAAACCATTGCCACAATAAACATGGAGAGTAAGTCCCTGTGGTCCCCCAAGTGCCCCCAGGCCCCTTTGCTGCCCTCAGGGCTCCTCTGTGCCATTCTAGAGTCCCACTTTTTTAAGAAAAAAACTGTAATTTTTATTTTACCCAGGTGACACCAGCATGCAGTTGAGAAGTCCGGGTCCTCCTTAGGCCTCTCCCAGGAGGGGCCAGCAGTGTCCCTGAGCCTTGGCTGCCTCTGCCTTCTACAGGGGGTGGCCCCATCCTGCTACACCCACCCCACTGGGCAGCCACAATCAAGGGGAAGTGGGCAGATTGTCACACATCTCTAGGTTGAGGGTGACCAACCATCCCCCTGAAACTCAAAGCCCAGCGGCCGGGGAAACCCTCACCCCCGGGGTGGATGGGCACCTGGCACCTGGCCTTGGGACAGAAGCCTAACTACACTGATGAGCTTTTTGGGAAAGAGATGAGGGACTAAATCAATTAATCAGCACATATTTTACTAACATCGCTTCCCCCAAAGCCACCGAAGTACTAATGTTTTTTGAATTCCTTCTTGCAAAGCCTTAGATGTTTTTCACAGAAAATAGAAACAAGGAGCAAGGAAAAGCACCCACGATCCTATCCCCCTGGAGACAACCATGACCCGAGGCTGCGCCCCGCTAACTGGCAGAGTAACTGGCGCAGGAACTGGTCAGCACGGAAGCCTGATTTTCCTTTTGTCTGGTCTGTCGGTTTGGTTTGATTTCTCTCTTTCAGTGGGTGGGGAGGTCTCAGTGTTTGGGAAGGGGCGGGGCGCTGGGAATCGGGTCATTCAAGGCAGCCTCCTCAGCTGGTGGCCTAGTGGTGTTTGCTGTGGGATGGATTTAGGTCTGGGGGCTGGGGATCCACCCCTCAGGGGGCAGACTTTGACTTCTCTGCCCACAATGATCGGCTGGTTTGGGGTGGGGGCGGGGGAGTGGTGGACGGGGCTTGGAGGGGCCCTGAGAGGGGATGGGAAGCAGCCTGGGTGTCTAACCTCACCTTACACTGCACCCCCCCATCCAGCCGCTGCCTTCAGCCTCCCCCATCCCTCCCTGCTACAGCCCTCCAGCACCTGAGCGTTTCTAGACAACAGATGGACCCCTTTCAGCTCTCTCCGCTCTCCTGTGCCAGCAATCACCCCTCCACCTGCTTTCTACCTCCCAGGGAGGTGTTGATGTCTTGTCTGCCGCTGTCCTCACCTCTTCTCTGTCCTTGGGGTTTGCATCTTTTTTTTTTTTTTTTAATTTAAAGATTGACTTACTTATTTGAAAGGCAGAGACAGAGAGAGAGAGAGAGAGATCTTCTATCCTCTAGTTCACTCCCCAAATGCCTGCAACAACCAGGGCTGGACCAGGCTGAAGGCAGGAGCCAGGAACTCCATCTGGGTCTCCCCCATAGGTGGCAGGAACTCAAATACTTGGGCTAGCACCTGCTGCCTCCCAGGTACATTAATGGGGAATCGGACTGGAAATAGACGTGAGACTCAGCCCAGGCATTCTGTTATGGGATACAGGTGTCCCAAACAGCAGCTCAACCCACCGCTGTCCCAGGTCTGCATCTTTCATTCCCTACGTCCTTAGAATGGAAACTCGGGGAGGACTGCAGCTAAAGGGCCGTGTTCAAGCGACAGAGTCTTTCCGGCTGCAACATCAATCGGCTCCTGTCAACTCCCGTGTAGGTCTCCCCCGCAGCAGCGCCTTCCCCAGCCTCGTCAGCTACTCTCTGTGTCCCACCCTGTGGGCCCGGCCCTGGTTCTGGCCTTGGCCCCCGACTCTCTCTCCCACTGCTGCTTCCAGATTGCACCAAGAAGCGCCAGACCCCCATGCACAGCTCAGATCACCTCCTGAGCCTCAGATCCACTTCCTGCCGCCTCTCAGGTGGTCTCCACCACGCATCTTCAACAGCTCTCAAAACCAGCTCCCCCACCCCACCCCCGACACGACCAGCCCTGGCCCTGCCCTGGTTCGGCCTGCCAAGGGTATCAGTGCTCTCCCTCCATCCGGACGCCCAGGAGGGCCCCGGGTCCCGATGCTTCCTCGAGGAGGCACAGCAGCCTTGAGGAGTTCAAACCCTGGCTTCACTTCTTTTAAGCTGTGTGATCTTGGACAAGGGGCTTCACCTGTTATTTTTCAAGGCCTTAGACTCTTGAAGAGTACCCATGGGGGTGGGTGTTCAGCAGTAGTTGTTAAAAATTGCTGCTCAGGGGAGATGGGAGGGGTGCGAGTGGAAGGGAAATTATGGGGGGGGGGGGAGCCAACGTAATCCATAAACCGTACTTTGGAAATTTATATTTACTAAATAATAAAAAAAAGAGCCTAGGGTGATTACTGACCCCCTAAACAAGAGTGTCAATTTGTTAAGTCAACAACAGGAGTCACTGTGCACTTACTCCTCATGTAGAATCTTTGTCCTTAATGTGTTGTACAATGTGAATTAATGCTGTAACTAGTACTCACACAGTATTTTACACTTTGTGTTTCTGTGTGGGTGCAAACTGTTGAAATCTTTACTTAATATATACTAACTCGATCTTCTGTATATAAAGATAATTGAAAATGAATCTTGATGTGAATGGAAGGGGAGAGGGAGCGGGAGATGGGAGGGTTGCGGGTGGGAGGGAAGTTATGGGAGGGAAGCCATTGTAATCCATAAGTTGTACTTTGGAAATTTATATTTATTAAATAAAAGTTAAAAAATGCTATGACAAAAAAAATTGCTGCTCAGGACACCTGCATCCCATATCGGAATGCCTGGGTCAAGTCCCGGCTCCTCCGCTTCTGATCCAGCTTCCTGCTAATGTGCACCCTGGGAGGCAGCAGGAACTTGGGTCCTGACCCACATGTGGGAGACCCAGATTGAGATCCTGCTCCTGGCTCCAGCCTTGCCCTTCCGTGGCTGAGGGCATTTGGGGAGTGGACCAGTAGATGGAATATCGCTGTCTGTCTCTCAAAAAAAAAAAAAAAAAATGAAAAGAAAATTTTAAAGAACCCGGAACATGTTAAAAATAAGGCGCAGGGCCCGTGTTGTGATGCAGTGGATTAAGCCACGTCTTGTGACGCTGGTGTCCCATATCAGCACCAGTTCCAGTCCTGGCTGTCCGCTTTCAAGCTGGTTCCCTGCTAATGTGCCTGGGAAAGCAGTGGAAGATGGCCCGAGGGCTTGGGCCCCTGCAGCCACTGGGAGGCCCGGAGGAGCTCCTGGCTCCTGGCTTCAGCCTGGCCCAGCCCTGGCTGTTGAGGACATTTGAGGAGTGAACCAGAGAAACAGATCTTCATTCTCTCTCTCTCTCTCTGTTACTAGGCCTTTCTGATTGAAAAAAAAAAAAAGACTTCCAAGTCTTATCATGACTTAAAAAGGAATGGTAACATTGTCTATAACATTTCCCACCTGGTCCCCTGACCTGGCCCCTTGGGCCATCAAACCAGCCCAGGCCCTCACCTCTTGGAGAGCAAGCCACAAGACGCTAGTCTCTTCCCTGCCAGTGCCCAGAGGTCCAGACTCCCCAGGCATGGCTCCTCAGTCTCTGCTGGCTCCTTCTCTCGCTGTGGGCCTGGCCCAGGGCTCGGCTCTTGCTCCTCTCAGCCTGCTCCTGGCAGTCTCCCCCCAGCCTCGTACACCCCATCATCCTCACGCCAGCGGCCTCCAAGGGGATCTTTGCAGCACCCCCTCCTGGTTCCCCAGCTGCTGCCTTGATGTCTCCCCTCCACCTGCCCTGCAGTGTCCCTGCCCGGCCAGCCACTGGCCTCCTTGCTGTCCCTGAACACAGGAGACACATTCCTGCCCCAGGACCTTTGCGCTTGCTGGCATGCACATCCTCAAGTCTTTCTTTCTCTGTGAGGCCTGCCCCTGCATAACATTGCCCCTGCCCTCACATCCACATTCCCAATCCGCTCACCTTTCTCTTGTCTACAGCACTTGTCATCCAATAGCTGTATAATCATTTATCGTGTTTCCGCTCATCTCTGCCTGCTGACAGGTCAGACCCTTGAAGGAAAGAACCTTCATTTCCTTTATTTCATTGCTTAGAATGCGGCCTGGCCCAGAGTGAGGCTCACAAAAAAGCTTACTGAAGTTGAATATTTTGCAATGAATGAATGAAACGATGATGTTCTACCCTCCCTCTAAACCCCTAGTGGCTCCCTATTGCCTAGAAGACAGAGTTCAAACGTCTTACAGTGGCATTCAAAGCCCCTGGCTGGCCCGACGAGATCTACCGATATGAACTGCTGCACTAGCTGTGTGCTGTACCGGAACACCAGAGAAAGGCGAGGGGTCGTCACAGCACGCACCTCGTCCTTATCTGACCATCTCAGAACAACTTCCAGAGGTGGGTAGGTGGGCGGGACAGCATCAGGCTCAAGTTACAGAAGGCAAATCGAGCTGAGCCTTCTTGGGCAACAGGTTCCAGGACACCTGGCAGTGTGGTGCGGCCCAGGTGTGTGGGGTTTCTCCCCACCCCATGCTGCCTAAACCTGCAGAGGCGAACACAGCCTCCCCTCCAGCACCAGAGCCTTGAGGGCAGGCCCCGTGCCCTGCTCCGGTGCTTCTGTCCAGCCCTCAGCACAGACCCAGGTGTGCAGGAACACCGTGCGGGAGGGCGGGAGCTCAAGGGGGAGGGCAGGACATGAGTTGCTGTGTGCTGGGCAGGCAAGGAATGGCCACGAGATGAACCCGGCCCGATGCAGAGGACCCAATGGGGCTCTGTCCCTCCTGAGCCCTGTGACCACGGGTGGCTCCTTCATGCCACTGAA